TAGCTGTAGTGACTTCCTTTTCAGTGACAGGCGTCAATCAATCAAAGTAGTGGAAAGTAGTAAAATATGCGCAATATGCAAACTAGCTATTGCCATGTTAGAAAATTCATTATTTGCCCTATAGATTTTCATCTTAGTACTAAATTTTAAAGGGTTGTAGTGCTAAAAGTAATGTTTTTTTTAGGTCTGTGAAAGCAATGGCAACATTTTCAGATCACTATGATGACTATAATTGGCTCTGTCAGGGATTTGTTTTCGTTGTCAGAATAAATCATTGTCAAAAATCATTTTATAAATTGGGATAAAAAATATTATTCCACCATTATGACCAACAGTGTATATAACTGTGTAACATATTTTGGGAGGATAAAATAAAAAGAAGTGCGATCTTGCATCCATTGCCCATATAACAGGCCAGGGCCCCGTCTTACAAAGAGTTACGATTAATCCAAATCGATCGCAAGTTTGCAGTCTCCTATCTCTTTTGTACATAGTTGCGATTGATATCAACTTTTTGTAAGACGGGGCCCAGATCACCAGGGGTGGACACAGGCGCGGATCCAGGATTTCTTAGGGGAGGGGGGGGGGGGGGGGTGTAAGCGGACATAGTGAGCACAATTTTTTTTTTTGGTCCTCGAAAATTTTAAAATTTGCACCCCCCCCCCCTTGAGCGCCAGGGGGGGGGGGGGGGGCAACCCCCCAAAAAGGTAAAAATCGCGTGATTTTGCATGATTTTTTTCTCTGGATCCGCCACTGGGTGGACAATTTCTTGCCAGACCTGCGCAGTACGTTTCACAGTCTTCTTAAACAGATCATGGACCTAGGCAGTTCAAGTATCTGGTGCAGTGACTACTGATAATGTGGATCTTTCTTGAGACTAACTTCAATTGGCGGCTTTAAAGGCATCGTTTAAAAATGTTAAATCTGATATACACGGCCCTACATGTTATCAGTGTCTGTGATATGGTGTAATATTGAAGCCCTAAAAAAATTGCGCTTAAAAATAATCAGGAAGTGCCTCAAAAAAGTAAAAAACCTTTGAGTGACCGGTTTTACCCTACTCGTTTTCCCCAATGGACTGTAGTGTTATGAAACCCACACGCAAACGCGAAAAAATTGGTTTCGATTTCCAATCATAAATATCTTGATAATCAGACAGGCGATCGGCTTGTAAAAGTCATGGGATTCCTGACTGACCTTAAGGTTTATAATTATCATTGCAGCATGAGCTAAATCCAGGATTTTGTTTAGAATCTGACACAAAGTTACTGGATCTCTTTAATTGTATTTGTACTTTAAATAGTTAGATAGAACATTTTGGGGGCATTAAAATGATGTGCGGTATGTGAGGGGAAAAAGAGAGAGGATTAAAGGGACAGCTGAAGTACAAAGCATATTGTAGTCTTATTTTGCAGACACTGTTACGCACAACCAACCTGCGCACAACGATTGAGGAATCATGCCTGTATACTAGTAGGTTGCGGAGAGGGCGCTCTCTGCATGAAGTTATTAGTGGACACTAGAAGCTATCAGAGCCATACAGTATATACACAGAGTGTGGCCAACCCAGTTCGAGTTGGACACAATATGGCGACTACTGCTCTCTTGGGCAAGAATAAAACAAAATAATATACGCCATGTTGTGACTCAGTGAAACCAAGTTGGCCAAACTCTATGTATAGATGGCTATGAAAGCTATAAAATGGCATCGTTTTCCCTCTATCAGCCTGCAAAATAAAACTGCCTTCCAAAACCCCATGCAAAGGTAGCAATAAATTATGATCAATCATATTTGTCAACACAAAAGCTTAGCTTTCTTATGGGTCCTGTCAATGTATTTTTGTATGTATTCATTATGTAATTATCATGTTTTGAATGGAAAAAATAAAACTGAATTAAATCTTAAACTATTGCCACCATAACCATCAAAAGAACAGAAAAGTACAAATATGAGTTTTTACTACGGAGAATTTTGGGATTCTTTTATTGATTTCAAGAATATAACACACATTATAGATATTCCTTTTCACGTTCCCCTGAAATTTGAAGAAAATAAACTTTTTTTTAAAACAGACAGGGAAAAACAAACGTAATACCTAGTGTATTGGAAATATCTAATGTTTTTTCGTTTGTTGTTGTTGTTGTTGTTGACAGTAGTGGTTTTGGTTGTTGTACTTGTTTGTACATCTGTTTCTGTTTGGATGCCTGGAAGCCACTATCGCCAGGCCATTAATATTAAAATCATTATCAAAAATGACAACGAATTTGTAACTTCAGTATTCAAACAACCAATCGGGGGTGCTCTCACTTATTCGTTAGACAAATAAAAGTGTACGCGTTTAACCATCAAGGGTAAATGTGCTTATGATCTAAGTTTTTACACATTTTGTTCAAGGCTAGCCGATATCTCAACTATTAAAAAACAAAAGATGAGTAGTTCATATTGAATGAATATGTTGGATTGAACTACAGGTGTACCTGCAGCTTATACACTGTCGCTCATAAAGGTGGAATATTTTTGTTTTACCCCAATTTACGGAATTATTTTAAAAATAATTTAAACATAATAGATCTATATAAAAGTATACATTCTCAGATTTTATTGAATAATAATATGCAAATGTGTGTTTTGCGTGACTGCTAAAGCATGTGTATGCTTCTATGCTTATTAATTAGGGGACCTACGCCCTTAAGTCATAAATGACAGTAATGAGGATTAATGCCCCACAAAAGGGCACTTATATGGCACATCGACACGGTTTTGATCCTGGGGCCTCACAGTTACGAGGCCAGTGCTTTGTCAATGAACCATGACTGTACGCAGCGGGGGCTAGGGTAGGGGGCAGTTTCCATAAATAAAAAATACCACAGAAAATGCAATAATTTTTCAATAATTTATTGCATTTTACCCCGGTTCCCAACATAAAGAAATCCTCTGTGTGCCCATACCTTGAGCCAAAATGCATGGCCATCCAGAGGATTTCTTTATGTTGGGGACCGGGGTAAAATGCAATAAATTATTGAAAATTTATTGCATTTTCTGTGTTTTTTTTTTATTTATGGAAACTGCCCCCTACCCTAGCCCCCGCTGCGTACAGTCATGGTTCAGTGACAAAGCAATGGCCTCGTAACTGTAAGGCCCCAGGATCAAAACCGTGTCGATGTGCTATATTAGTGCCCTTTTGTGGGGCATTAATCCTCATTACTGTCATTTATGCCTTAAGGACGTAGGTCCCCTATTTGATAAGCATAGTAGCATACACATGCTTTAGCAGTCACGCAAAACACACATTGTCAAATTATTATTCGATAAAATCTGATAATGTATACTATTATCTAGATCTGTTATTTTTAAATTATTTTTAAAATAATTCCGTAAATTGGGGTAAAACAAAAATATTCCACCTTTATGAGCGACAGTGTACTAGTTGATAGTGGAGCAAACTTCCTACCTCTTCTTCATCATGAAGACCTCGAGTCGATACATTATATGCACTAAATTGTACGATTACAATCATCATAATGCAAAATGATCTTACCACCTCGCTTGCCCCCCCCCCCATCACACATACCCGGCTAGTTCCGCTATTATGCTGCGAGAATCGATAGTATACAAATATACACTGCCTTAAAGATACTATGTCCCATTTGCAGGCCAAAAAAATGAAAAAGTTAAATTCCAACTGCATTTGAAAGGTAATACTAATTTAGAACTTCCCTAAAAAAGTTGGGGCTTGAAAATGTCTTCAAGTTGGAAAATAACGACTATTAGTTGTCAAATCGACTTTAGGGCTATAGATCCCAAAAGTAATAGTCTTGCTTTTCAGACGATTGTACCGAATGGTCATACGTTTTATGCTGCGCAAAGATTCAATCAATTTAATCTTGGCCATCACAAGAAGTGGGTTATTGATGTAGACAAATGCTCATGTACCCTTTACAACTCTTTTCATGTATGTTATTACCAAAGAAGAAAAAAAGCCAGTCACTCACTCAATAGTGTCTGACAGTGAAGTCTAGCAAGTAAACGGGTTTCCTTGCATAATTTGAATATGAGGACACTGCTAATGTTTAAATTTCACAAATAGGACATACATGACATATTCATAATTCCTGCAAAGTTCTACATAATTTGAGGTTGGCTGCAAAAGGGACATAGTACCTTTAAGAGGTTCTGGTTAAAACTATGTGCAAGAGGTGACTCCAATAGTACTATTTCCAAATGGTACTTTTGGAGTCACCGAGGCCCATAGTTTAACCAGTACCTCGAATAGAAGGCATGGTATATTTGATTTATATCAAGCATCAAAAATTTATTTAAAAAAAAAAAAAAAAAAAAAAAAATTTGGGAAGAAAAAAATTTAGAACAAAAAAAATGTCAATTTTTATCTAAAAAGATTTAAAATATTTTGTTTTCATTAAATTAAGATTTGAAGAAAAAAAATTGATTCAATTAAAAAAAAAGAAAACCACATTTTTTTTCAACTCCCAAGTAGTAAACCAAAATAGTACTCTCATATAATAGTACCTTCTAAAAATAGGTCAAATATTTCTGGTCATGTGACGAGCTATCAACCAATCAAAAGCCAAACAAATTTTGATGCAGGATATAAATCTTGATGAACACGTTTCTCAAAATTAAACGATGGTTGACTTCCTTGAAACATGTCATGGGCATCGAAAGTGGACATGTGCGCTATACAAGTAGCCACTATTATTATTATTATTATTATTATTATTATATAGGAGCATGAAATTACGCCGTATGAGTTTATTGCGCGCTATGTCATATAAGATTGTTTTTTTAAACATGTTCTCGCTTCAACAGATCTTCAGAAATTAAATTTATGTATCCAACTTCAATCACAAGTAAGTTCCATATCCTTTACTCCAAGTATCGTATTATTATTCATATTTGATGTTTATCTATTTTCCCGTATTCCGACAAATGCGCCATAGACTCAGCAACTGCAAGCAGTTGGTGGTAGGTCTATGCTGCAAGCAATCATCTTTGATAACTATTCGAAATCCATCACAAGTCCAGAGCCAGCCATTTCCTTCTCGTAAAGCTCGTCATATCTTCTGTTCTGATCGTCAGTGAAATAATTCTTCCAATCTCCGATTATCCCTTGTAAGGAAACAAAAAAGTGAGACAAACAGGTATTGATTACGGGAAATAGTTTGTCACAGAAATTAAGTGCTTTATATACCAGGTGTATAAGAGAATTGACGCTGTTGATCATTGTCAACTCGGGGTTGAAAGTCGAATCAGATGGAGGTTGTCAAGTTTAATAGTGGTCATAGTAGAAGAAGTAGTAGAAGAAGAAGAAGTAGTAGTAGTAGTAGTAGTAGTACTAGTAGTACTACTACTACTACTAGTAGTAGTAGTAGTAGTAGTAGTAGTACTAGTACTAGTAGTACTAGTAGTAGCATTACTATTATTATTGTTATTATTAGTATTATCATCATCATCATCATCATTATCATTACTACCTGTAGTACTATTATTATTGTTACTTTTAATGTAAATTATTCATTAGCATTATTACTATTTTTCTCATTTTTATTTTTCTCATCATCATTATCATTCATAACAAATTAAAACGAATACCTTTCCTCATGAATGAGTTGCCGCTTTTCACCTTTCTGCCAGGCGAATCAAAAGTGTCAGGGTTCGAGGAGGGGTTCTTCTTCATTGCCTGGAAGGTCGACGCTTCCGAGATTTTTTCGATGACGTCATCTGAAAAGGACTTTCCCATGAATTCTGCTATCTGTCTCACTGCACCTGGAAGATCCTAATGATGATTTATAACAGTAATAAAATAATACCAATGAAACGCTTAATTCCTTCATATGGTTGAACAGCGTACATAGTCGGATTTCGGGGCAACGCCTTTGACACGCCCTGTGAAAGCGACTTGATACAAAGTCAATGCAAAACGAACATTAACCATGTAATGTGGAACCATTCTTCCTTCCTCTTTTTGTTAAACAATATACTCGATACATTTCCCAATGTGAAAATAGAAATAAAAACAAATTATCTTACCCTTTTCATGTCCTCGTACTTGAGAAAAAGAACGTTTGGATGATTTCTTTTCCTCCACCATGGCAAGACGTTTTCAAACCAAGATCCTATAGGAGCTGAAATTAAAAGAAAATCATTCGCCATTTTCTTTTGTATAAACACGTACAACACAACACAAACACAAACAATCGGATGGTTTGGAGTCGGTCTTAAGTCGGTTTGGTGGTATGACTGAAGTATTATTCTTAAGACACGAGGGGTCTTATTTTGATAACGATTTCCCATGTCAGGGAAAGTTATCTTAATTGCCATAACACCTCCAAAAGGGCGAAAGTAACACCATCGGTGCTTGCGCAGATGACTCTTTTAACTTAATACACGAACGCAGTCAGCTCTGCGCAGACATTAACCAATGACTTGTCTTAACTTTGAGTTTGTTATGATAATCAACGTCGTTTTACCAACATCAGGGACAACTTTTGTTTTAATATACCACCTCCGGACTTACTTCTTAATGCGAGATACTCTTCGAAGAATATATCCCAAGACTCGTAAGAGGGCAGTGGACCAATATGATGACAGAAGTGGTAGAAGGAGACCGCGGCATCCTTTGGGTTTCGGGCTACGTATAGCACCTGCAATTGAGTCAAGAGAAGTTTTGAGCTCTGATTAGGGTCAAAAGTACTACTGATTTTCTCACTCTTTTTATGAAATTTGAATTGATATCATAAAAGAAAATGTCTCCTGAAAAGGATTGCTAGCTGTTCCAATGCCCTAATATTTGAAATATGAAGAGACAGAGCTGAAGAGTTTAAACCAAACTTTCATGCCCCTTTAGAATTTCGACAGTGTATCTGACTTTTATGTATCATATTCCACATACAAAGAATCTTACGCTATGATTGGTCAAAAGTAAATCACGTGATGAGAGAAAGTTCGCTCATCATTGATGGGAGAAGAAAAGTTCGCTGCACTGTGTAGATAGTAGTACTATCTACACAGTGCAACGTACTTTCTTGTATGCGTTGCATATACGTACGTACGTGAGTACTGCATGCACTAGCTGTACGTATCGTTCACCGTTTGCTAACTGTTAATTGATGATTTGTTGCTCTAAAATAACGAAGTGAAATGTTTCCGATGTGGAATATAAAGCAAATAATCCCCTTTTGGTTTCAGGCGATGGCAAACTAGCACTTCCTCGGCGATCTGAATGTATACACTATCTTTCCTCAGCTTCGCTTCGGAAAGATAGCTACATCCAGATCGCCTCTAAAGTGATAGTTTGTCCCATCACCTTCACCAACGGTCATTATTTGTTTGATTAATACATAATGAAATGAATTATACAATGCAATGGCTTCTAGACAGTTTCCCCCCACAGTAGAACTCAACTTTATATTTAAGAGGGAAATTATATTGGTGGCTGCAGCCCACGAGGCTGACTCATAATGTCGGTCTCATGGACCTACACGTTATGAGAGGTTTCAAGAGACCGACAGCTTACGATAATAAGCAAATAATTACCGTTGGTGAAGGTGATGGGACAAACTATCACTTTCGAGGCGATCTGGATATAGCGTATATTTCAGATCGCCGATCTCACTCAGATGTCACAGATATTGGTTCTGATATCTAGTGTGCACTTATTAATCTTGTAGAAATATATTTGATCACGTGACATGCTCTTGACCAATCACCAATCAAGAAATTTTCCATAACGGATTTGGTAGGAAGTAACCCACCTTAGCTTTCGGATCATCAGTGCTTATATCCATTGGCAAGAAAGGCGGTATGTAGTGAGATTTGAGTATCCTTGGTGATGCCATAGCTTCTGCTGCGTCGATCCGTAACGCTGATGTCTGCAGGGAGGGGATGACGGCATATCAAATAATTTAGTTGATGGAATCATCATAAAGGCGATTTCATGGGAAGTGTTCACTTGTCAAAAATAACTATATTGACGATTTCTCCGGAAATACTATCATCAAAGAAAAGATCTAAAAAGTCTTTTGATTTCATAAGTATCGAATAGGATTGAAGGACGCTCGTTTAAAGATGAAGTTGAGTTCTGGTCATGCGATTGCATTGTGAAAGAAACGGTGTGGAATCGACCAGAAAAGGTTGATCATCTAGCATATAAGAATTTGTTTTTATTGCAAGGTTCTGGAATCATCAAAATTATAAGAAATTTGGCCAAGTCTTGGTAAAGGTACCCAGAAAGATGTATATGGGACTACACGAACACGTGGCGTAAAAATCCTACCCTGGATTTTACGATGTTACTTGACATATTTAGATTATGAAGGCATTTGAAGAGCCATGCTTTTCAGGGAACATGTCTTATCTGATGTTCTTCCACACTTGCATAAAAAGAATGATAACGCTCACAAATTATTTTTCACCTCATCCCAGAACTCAACCTTCTCTTTAAGCTTTCGTCACGCCACAAGCACTTTAGATTTAATTTTGGTATTTAATTGTGATGATAGGATGAAGGACTAATGATGAGAGGTTTACGTGACTAAATGAACGTTTCAAAGTAAAGCTATATATAAATTATTAAACGTTGATGAAGGTGTCATCTCTGTTACGTATTTTTAGCTCTGACAGGGAATTATGTAATGTAAAAGGTTAACGACATGTCTTACTGTTTAGAGTGTTATTTATATAACCTCCTGTTAATTCCTTAGTTTACTTAGACTAAATAAACTTGAAATTGACGGAAATGCTATGGGCAGATAAGGTTTATTTGTACAAAACTGTAAAACCCATCGAGACGACTGCTGGACGTGTTCATCAAAGTTATGTAATCATTATTCAATTATGCACCGGAGGTTCATTCTATGATTTGTGCTCTGTTCTGTTCAAGAGGGAAAACAAGAGGAATTCATGAAGCATCTCCATCACTTTGACATAATCTGTAAAGCGCTTAGGCACATCGTTGGATCGATGTATTGAGCGCTATATAAAACGGCATATTATTATTATTATTATTAAACCAAAAAGCAATGTGTATAGAAAGACCATATCTGCATAGAGACCACTTTTCGAGTCTCCCTTGAGCGTTCAATACCAACATGTTTCACTGTACTTACCGATGGGTTGAGCATGTCTTCTACAATCTCGAGGAATGGAACCATCTTTATGATGTGCTTTCCTTCAAGTTCGCTCCTATTTCCATCATGTTTTATCAAAAGCATCAAGTGAACAGCCCAGGTTGTCCCTAACAATGAAAATCAAATTCGCACATTTTCACATGAAATTATAATTAGTTTCTGTAAAAATAAATATACATGTAAATTATATCGGTTGCTTAATATTGAGTTTTCCCTGCTAAATTCGCAACGTTGACAATCCAATTCATGTTGAGTGTATTCATGTATTCAAATTAGCACAATAAGGCCTGCCTTTCTATTCGAAAGTTAAAATTCATGATCAGTGCATTCAAATTCGCATTTTTGTCAGTCAAACATGTTTTTTCTTTCAAATTCATAATACAGTGCGTCCCAGTATTGTAAATATACAGTATTTAGATTTAGAAGATATATGGAGAAAAGAAATCCGAATGCAAAGCTATTTACTTTTCGACCATGAACTATGAAAATTCTATCATTGGATTTGAATGCGTAAAATTAATTGAATGTTTTTAAGGATTTGTTAACATTCATGTAGGGGCCGCAGGTAATTTCTTGTAACTGTTATGTCCAAGACGTGAATATGGTGCAATTATTATAATTAATAATTATATTTATTAACTTTGGACTCTTCTATGTATGGTAACTAGCCATTTTAATGATTTATGTTAAATAATTTTTTTTCATTAAAAAAAAGTGAATATGTTTTGAATCGATATATGATAAACTGCTTGAAAAGACAGTCTAAGACATTTTAGTGTGCGGGAAACTGAAATTTTACCGCGTTTGCATTCCCCAATATTTCTACTTTGCTTAAATAATCGTGTTATACACAGTTGTTTTCTCTAATTCATGAATGCCAAAATCATCTACAAGTGCAATTTTGTGAAAGACACATTTTGTCTGTTTTCAAGCTAAAAGGGTGTAAGCTCATACACTAACACCTAGCTAATGCCCTTCTCGCTCCAAACAGACATTTTCATTTGTGTTTTTTTAGTAATTGCTAAATTGTTCAAAATTATTGATACCCTTTATATATAGGATTTCCCGGTCAAATTCGCGCGTTTGTCATTCGAATTCATTTTATTTGCATTTAAGTTAGCGCAGATCGGCTTTGCCATATGCCAATTATCATTCAATTTTCCAGTTTTTGTATTTAATTTAGGATTTTGGTCGAAGGGTTTCATAGATCTGTCATTCAATTTAGAAACTGCTCAACTAGCATTCAAATTAATATTCACTTGTCGAAGCGTAATTTTTTTCATTCAAATTAACACCTGTCATTCATATTCGTAACATTTTTATTCAAGTTAGGAATGTTAGGGGGAAGAATTGCAACAAACTTTTACAGTTTTTAACTAATGCAGTTAAAATGCATGATTTGCCATTGGGATCTAAGCTGTTATTCCATTTATTTATTTTCAGGACAATGCAGATGGGTGTAGTCAGACATAAAGTAAAGAAGGGGCAAAATCAAGGGATATGGCATTTCTGCACTGACATGTTCATATACCCGGGAAAGGTGGGGGTACCCTCAATCGTCCCTTTTTACTATAGACTCGGAATTTCTTATAGTTATACCCAGCACACCCCTCTGTTTTCTTAAAGACTTCATAGTTTACTTGCCCGCCAGCGAATCGATGGCTAAAGACATGGCTAAATAATGAATCATGTTCAAATTGTTGACTCTAGTCCCTACCCCAGTCACAATATTGTACCCTTCTTCCATAATGAAATTATGATGAAATTATGATAAATTTATGATGAAACATAAGACAAACAACTTCCTTACATGAATATTTACAAATATACTGAGACCGTCAGGTCCGTAGATGCAAGTCGTATTTTTCTTCTTAACAATCAAACTTAAATGCTGATGAATATCAGATAAATCTAATAAGTATAGGTTTATAAATGCAAGAAAATGAAATATGATGAAATACACATGAAAAAACAATCTTGAAAGAAAAAGAATGAGCTATAAAAAGTGTGTAATAAACGAGAAATGTATATTGACCATCAATTTAAGTGCACAAAGTGCTAATTTGAATGCTACAAATGAATTAGAATGCTAAAAGTACACTGTCGCGTTGTCAGAAAATCGTGTTGCGCCAAATCGAATGACCAAATAGCGAAAGAAGCACATTGCTCTTTAATTTGAATGAAACATACGTAGATTCTAACGAAAATTCCATAGATTTGAAAACTAGAAAAGGGAATATAAACCCGAGATATACCTGACTGCACTAAAACCGTCGAATTTGAACGCAAGACAAATTAATTTGAATGACAAACTCGCGAATTTGGCCGGGAAATCCTATATTTGATGTTTTGTGTGTTTTTGTAACTCAAGAATGAAAGGTGTACTGGTTGAATTAGGGCCTTTGTTGGATACTTTCAAGGTAATGCAAAGTTTTGGGAAATTTGGAAATTTTGATGGATAGTAATTCTTTAAATTGTTGATATAATTGGAAGCCCCTATCAATGCATTATAAGCACTATAAAATGTAGCCCCTAAAACACTTCTGCATTCGAGAATTTGCCGGTGCTCCCGGTAAATTTCAAATATTTCAGATAGCGCCTAAGGCCGTTCCATGGTATACGTAGCTGCGACCATAAAAATCTGAGAATATGCAGTTCTGATATATAATTTCCGAACGGGAATAGCAAATTGGTCGATTGTAGTCAAGAAACATTGTTTTACATCTAAAGTAATATCAGTCTTGAGAGGGAGCTATACAACACTTATAAAGAGTTTATTATTTACAATTTCATCATTTTAGACTCGATTTCAACCGCGACAACGATCATTGAATATTGTAAGATCGCATATGCTTCCATTGTGTTCAGTCGAACCAAATTCATGACCCCATACCAAAACTTTGTATTACCTTTAAGATGTAAGCTTCAACATGTTCCTTTATGACGAGTATAATATTCATACCCAAACTTTATCAAAACACCGGAAAATGCCACACTGTCAACTCTAGCTGATACTTGCATGTTAGGAAGTAAACATGAAACACATTCTGTTTATTGGTGCTGCCATTAGTTTGACTGAAATTAGTTATATGTAATAAATTCTTCATGACCTATACATTTCAAGTAATATTATATAGGGTGTCTTCAAGAGCTCTGGTAAAACCATAACTCCGTCTAATTTGTAGGCTTGAATCAAAATCAATGCTGAACAAAGACAATGGCATGCCTTCCAGAATGTTCTCTCATGTGCGAATATAGTAAAACGATAATTTTGTTTGGGGGGGGGGGGGGGGGCATTAGTGCCATTACTGAAGGTCATATTTTCTGAAATTTCTAAGTGAACTTAAATTTTTTGGGAAAATGCAGTTGTTGATATTTGTTATAAATTGCTTAGCTTGTTAATACTGCCTTAGATTTACAGTGCCAATGTTAACTGCCCAAAATATGTTAATTATTGCTATTTTAACACTGCACAGATATCCACATCATTTATCTTGTACAGCCTTTAAAACATTTACTCTCACGTATTGTTATTTAGGAATTCATCCTCAGAAACCAAGGGTTATGTGTTATTTTGTTATTTTTCATCATGTTTCTCGCCCCAACAGAGATTTTCCATCATTTAATGCTGCTGCAATTATGTAATATTTTTGAGAAAAGAATCAATATATCTTGAAGCATCTAATGTTTGTGACGTAATGCCATTGTTTTAAAACCACAAGTCGTAATTATATTTTTTATTATCTTCCAGCCCCTAAAGCTGAAATTAAAGTTGTACAAAACTTTAAAAATCACAATTCCTATTTAATTTTATTATCTTTAGTTACCTACAAGCTTATGAAGCTGTGCAAAAGTGTTCAGTCAGAAATCTTTATTTTGTAGTTTAGATATCATGAAATTACTGTTTAATCATTATTTGGTAGTGTTAGGGTTTAATTGTGCTGAAATAAAAATATAAAAAACTCATATATTTAAATATGTGCTTTAGCTGCACATAGTTTGCAGTCTTTATATATGGCACTGTGCAGAGGCGCGTCTAGCCTAAAAATAAAATCGTTTTTGTAAGCAAAAAGGTAAAATTGTGGTTACCATTTTTTGTTATTGCTTTTTTTGTTGCTAGGGATGGGGGCCGTCTTTTTTTTAAAAGGCAAAATCGTGGTTACCATCTTTTTTAAAAACTTTTTTTTTGCCAGGGGTTGGGGCCCCAACCCCCCCCCCCCCTCCCCACTGGATCCGCCACTGGATAAGCCTATTATTATTTTATTCTGTGTGGTGTGTATTGTCATTAGTTACAATGAGTTCATAATAACTGAGAGCAAGCAAATTGAAACGATCAATTTCTCTCGGATTAGATTTTGGATAAATATGCTTTCCTTATTCATAATGCATGCGAAGTTTATTGTTCTGCATGTTTGACGATTCAGACAATTTAAATCCCGTTTTCTTAGAATGGCGCTAATTTTTATACTTAACGGCGAACTTTTGCGAAGTCACAGGGCTGGGCAGAAAAAATGGAAATGTCCATATTTATGAGATTTTTACCATCAATATAATGACTATTTACCTGGCAATAATGTCATTCAATAAATCTGAAAAAGTCATTTATATGGTGTGTTAATTCTATTTTCTTAATTGGTTGAAAATTAAATGAGAACTCTGATTTCAAATAAATTTGTCAGAACTCGACGTTTGAATTTTTTTGTGTTCATTTCTCTCTCTCTCCTTCTCTCTCTCTCTCTCTCTCTCTCTCTCATATACATGAAGTATTTCATTTATTTAGGCACCACCCAATATAGAGAGCCTAGCAATATACACCGACAGAATCTACAAGGCTACCGGCTACCCCACTACACACACATTTGATAGCACCCCCCCCCCACTAAGAACAAATATTGAAAACCTACAGACTAACACATTGCTCATCCAGTCGAAAATTTAACAGACTAGATGTAACCAACTCAACAGACGCTTTTCTTTAATAGAAGAAAAATGAAACCTTTAAATATAGATCTAAACCAAATGAGATATCACGAACGAGAATATCATAAAAATGTCTGTTTATTGTCACTTTATTATGTGTTGTTAAAAAGTAGTAAATTCTCACCAA